AATTATTCGAAAGTATTTTGAAAAATGCAAAATAACACCACAAAATGAATATTAAAAAAAACACGAACTGCATTCGCAATATTAATGGGAGAATTGATCGACGATACTTTTAGTAATATCAATCCAAAAACGAACGCAATAAGGAATTGAACTCCAAATGGAAAACAAATTCCATGAAACAGAGACAAATCGTCTGATTGAAAAACGATACTGCAAACACACAATAAATACGTCCATATGATGGAAAGATGTGAGCATACAACTTTTCAAATTAGTGAACAGAAACATTCGTAAGAAAATGAATTTTCGCATATTTTCAAAGTTTCGAAAAATCAACAATCGAAGACCTCTCGAATAGATTTCAAAAACAAACTATGAAATCTGGAGATTACAATTTCATGAAAAATATTTCAAACAAACAAAATTTCATAGAAAAGAAGAAGAAAAAATACAAGGAGAACGATACAAATAAAATCAAATGAAATGATTTCAAATCAAATGAAATAAATTCGCCAAAAAAATACATTCAAAAATGTCAGCGCAAACAAACGAAACACTGTCGCCATCCCAATTCGATGTGTAATTGCACGCAACATACTCAATAACGACGTCGATCCCTCGGGCTTCTGGAACGCCTACGTCCCCCGCCGCCTCCTCCCCCTCCCCCACCTCCTCCTCCGTATCCATGACGATCTCCGTAGCCACCCCCTCCTCCGCCTCGTCCTGAATTTCGTTTAATATTATTTTTATTACTTTTTATTGTCATCATTACTATCACTAATATTCCTAAAAAAACATACATAAACTACCAAAAAATACACATGTAAATATGTATACGAAACTATTCAAACGCACGCAATTTGATCCATTTTCCTAAGAGACTTTGTTCGGAATCAGATATTTCTCACTTTTCCGCATAGATATTCTGCGACAAAACTTTCAAAATTTCAATTGCATCTGACATGCTCATCAACACTACCATCGCAATTAATATTACTCAAAGCAATAATAGTTGCAATTAATATTACTCAAAGCAATAATAGTATTACTGCCTTCTTAAACACGATTGTTCCACAATATCAATACTCATTAAACACCGCCAGTCGACTCAAATCATTCCAAATGAAACCAACCCCGCCCTAACCCAAAATTAAAAAAACCAGAATCAAAATCCTACCATAACCACCTCCGCCTCCTCTTCCAGCACCTCCGCCTCCGCCTCCACCTCCACCTCCACCTCCACCAACTGCGTCACCACCCGCTCCACCGTGCGATCCAGCACCGTAGTATCCGGTACCACGATAATCCGCTCTAGAGCCGTACAATTTTCGTCTCAACTCTCGTGATATTTGTTTCAGATGCATGAAGTTACAGAACGCTCCCTTACTGCAACCGCCCAACT